TGCAGAACATTTGAGGTGGAAGTACTTTCTACCACCTCTGCAGTCTTATTCACTTCTTTTGTCAGTCCCTCCATTTATTGTAAGTTATTCTGTTTGATATACTTTTAAATAAGGGAAATGTTCCGTCCTGTCATACACTAACTCTAGACTGGTTTATGTGGAATTATCACTGGCTCCTGAATACATATTAACAGCTTTTTAGCAACCATTACATCAATATTTGTTGGAGTTTGAGTTGTGCAGCGGTGTGAAATGACTGGCGTACATGTCATTATTATTGGTACATTCATCTTGTTTTACTTCTCGCACAGATATTAAGTAAATGCCAGCAGCTTTTTATCAACCGTAACACAAATATTTGTGGTAGCTGAGTGCTGGCATATTAGTTTTTTTGCCAATCTGTTTGGCTTACAGAATTCCCCCTACGTTGGTCAGTGGCTTTGTGTGTACAATACATACGAGTCATTCATTGCATGAATTGCCAAAACTGTTTCAGTTGTGCAATGGTGTGAAATGACTGGTGCAGTGTCAGTTGTTTTTCCTGTCATCGTGTGTTTGTCACTGTCAGACTTACTTTCCCGGGAGGTGTTTAGGGAGACAAGGCTTATATCGTATGATAATTATGAGTCCAAATGACAGCAGGGACTTTGACCTTCCCAGGGAAATAAAGTGCGAGACGTGTTGACACTTATTCACACATAAGAGTTAATCAATCTGTGGTTCCAGCGTGAATTTAAAACTGATGAAAGTCAGTGAAGTCATTGATGTGACTACAGAAAAATAAACTTTGTTCCATGACACAAATATCATTTTGTTTGCTGTTATCTAGGGTAGCTTGCCGAAATTCCTCTTTACGGCCCAATCTTTATTTGGTCCTTTTTAACCTCACTTTTTTTTGACAAATAGTTCTGTGCTAGACGAACTAATGTACCTTCTTTGTCAGTCAGAAGCTTCTCTTAATGATCAAAATGACACTTCCTGTCGCCCCTTTTCTCCTCAGACACAACCTCAGTGGCAGAGACTCGGCTCAACAATCCCAGCCTGGGAGATGGAGCGAGTGTCGGCGGCCTGACGGGTCTCAGTGTCAGCGGGAGCCACATGGAGCGCTGCGGCATGAGCTCCACGCAGCGAGACAACATGAGCGACAACGCCAGCACCACGGCCCTCGCTGGGACCAGCATCACAGGAAGCCTCTCTGGCAGCTGCTACAACAGGTGATAAACTGGACCTGGATGATCGCTCCATAGACAAATGTTTAATGAGAAAAACGTAGCATTTGACCGGCAAATAGCACATACTTTATACAATTCATAGTGCACGATTTTACTCTTTGGTATGGCTTAGTAAATACATTTCGTGGTATTGTTCTCTGATACTGGTTAAAGCAAACTTTCTGTGACTCACTGAGACATGAGAAATGATTTCATATTTTGTTTGAATTGTCATTTCCAGGATGGAAGTGCAGGCTGATGTCCAGAAGGAGCGCTGCAGTCTGAGCGGCGAGTCGGCCACCGTCAGTCTCGGGACAATCAGTGACAACGCCAGCACAAAAGCCATGGCAGGATCCATCCTCAGTGCCTATATGCCTCTGGAAAGGTCAGTAGACCCCTGCATCTCTACCCTCTTTTAAACATGTATACCTGTCCTAGTTTCTCTAATACCTTTGTCGTCAAGTGCTTGTTTGTCTGTCTTTGACAAAAAAAGGACACTAAAAGCACATAAAAACAGTTGATTCATAATAAATAGGCAAGTAAATATCTTTGATCGAAAAGTAGTTGTTCTAGATATTATTATGTATTCCTTCTTTAACCTAATTAATAAAACCTTCTATATGTTTTGCTATTTTGAAGCACATTGAGTCTGTGTTGGTGCATGAAATGTGCTATATAGATAAACTTGACCTGTTTTAAAAGGATTTCTTCTTGTTATCTTGTTTTGCAGAGACAACAGTCTGGATGCTCAGGCAGACATAGAGTCCAAACAGCAGAAGCTGAGGCACTGCAGCGTCAGCAGCAGCCTGGATGAAGCCAGCTGCAGCAGCACCCCCGGCCTCAAAGGTGCTGCGGGTGGTCCCTGCTCCTGCCCCTCCACCAGCTGCTGCGCGCAGCACGAGAACCACTGCTGCCCCTCGTCCCCCTGGTCAAAGGAAGCTTCCACATCAGGAGGCAAGAAGAGCCGAGTAAAGCTTTGGAAACGAGCCAGCAGCAGCAGCAGCAGCAGAGGAGACATGAAGATAAACGAGACGCGGGCGGACATGGACGCCCAGCTCCTGGAGCAGCGCAGCACCAACTCCTCAGAGTTTGATTCTCCATCTCTGAGCGGCAGCCTGCCCTCCGTGGCCGACTCGCACTGCAGCCACTTCTCATCAGAGCTCAGCTGCTCCGACCCTGAAACCTCGAGACCGGCTCATGCCCCCTGCTCCGCCCCTACGGACCCCCGCTCTCATCACCACGCCACCACCTTCGGTGACGTCACCATCTTACCCATGCCCGAGGTGGAGAACGACCGCCTGGAGCATTATCTCCCTCACAGAATCAGCACAGCCTTCACCCACCGCCTGCTGTCCTCATCCCCCCCTGCCTCGCCGAAAGAGGGGAGCAGCGGGATGTTTCTGTACATCAGTGAGGAGGGGGGAGGCGCCTGCGCAGACTCAGAGCCGGAGAAGGACAAGAAAATAAAAGAGAGCGTCAAGAACACTGCCGTGCAGCCTGTAAGCCCAAGTATACAAACGGAGATCTAAAGGATGTTCTTCAGGTGTAAGCGGTGTTACCACTTCCCCACCATGCATTCTGGGAAGCCTTTGGCTTAAATGTAAGCCAATATGTTTAAGGTTAATTCTATTTTTACTTTCTGAAGAGGCAGCCAGGAATATTATGTGAATGTCAGTCTATACTGAGAGGGTCGAGGTCTACGTTGGAGAGAGATTTGTGGAAACGGGAGCAGGTCAAACGGATCAGTGGTTTCTGTTGTCACTGAAGACAGAGGTTTTAGTGACCGTGAAGGTGTTTAGTGGGGAGCTGAATGTATGTGGACAGGTTGTAAAGTAGGTTGTTAATGTTTTCATCAGTCTGAATCCTGAAGGATGTTCTGAATCCAAGCTCCATGCAGATCTTATTCTTTTACAAAAAAAACAGATCCTGGAAATGTCTGATATTCTTTGATTAGTAAATTGAGCTGCTATTTTAAAGCCCGAACCCATCCTCCCGTGTGTCATCGGCACAAATGTGTTTTGCATGAATCAGGGATGGATATGTGATGGTCACTGTGGTCCACCGCTGTGCCGCCACTTCATTCTGTGACTTCTTAAAGCAGTCTAAAAAAAACAGCTAAAGGATTGTTGAACCTAAGAGGGACCAGTCCATTCAGTAGCACATTTTATTTTTCCATAATCATCTATAAGACGATTTGCTTTTTTTTCAAATGTGACTCCTGTATTTTTTTTTCTGTGCTGTTGTCTTTGCCTATTTTTTTATTTTCCATTTTGGGAAAGTCTGTTTTAATGTTGAAACCCTGTTTTGGGTCCAAACCTTGAGTATGACCGGATGGGAATTGTGTTGATGAGTTTAAAGTAGCCATTTTTAAATAATGTGGATTTCAGACTGTTCTTCACAAACCTCTGTCTGCACTGTTAAATGTTTATTAGTGGTTTGCACATGTGCAAGTCTTCACTGCAGTATTTAGTATATCATGGATTTATGAGAGCTATATTAAAGAAAGGGAACTAAGAGAATTAAGGAAAGCCCAATTTCAAAAATATAACAATGTAGCCTTTTTTTAAATACTTTAACTTGTTTTAGTGATCCGTCATTAAAACTGGAAAGTCAACCAAACAATGTTTTTGCAATAAGGAAATTAAGCTTTTGAATAACTAATCAACAGTGTAACTATATAACAGCTCTGATGTACTGAGTATTTGAGCACACATCTGTCAGTGATTTCATGTTCTGTAGTGAATGTATGATAATAGGATTACATTTTTGATTCTCCCTCGGTAAAATCAACATCAAAATATAATTTTTGATTCAGAGCCTTGAGTGTATTTGAACTACAATGTGTTAAGTTGTCTTTCTTAAATCATTGCAAATGAAAAATGCAAATTTTATATTTGTTGGACCCACAGTGCCTTTTGGAGAAAAAAAAATCCTTTGTACAGTGTTTTTACTTTCTTTTTATTTCCTCATATGTCTTCAAATGATAAACATAAAAATCCTGAGAGAATTTATCGTATTTTCCTCATAAAATGCTCGAAATGTAACTTGATACGAAGTACTGCCCCTACCCTGAGTGCTAACGCTAGCTGTCACACTAGCATGCTTAGCTGACCAAAGACTCGGGCCATTAACCGGGTTTTGGACCAGTCATTTAAAACTAACGTCCAAAATAAGTGTTTTAGAAATAATATTTTTAAAAATGTTACCGTAAAGTAGCCAAAGTCAGTTCACCTGTGTTTATAATCAGCTCCTGCTGGAAATAAAAGCCTGTTTATCCAAAGCAATGAGCATTTTGAGTATCAGATGTTGTTGTGAATTGTCATCCTCACTACAGATTACTTTGCTCTGATGTCAACCTGCCGAGCTCAGCAGGAGCTGTGTGGGAGGAAAGAGTCGCTCATAGAGAAGTGATGTCAACTCAAACAGTGTTGGTGTATTCCAGCCCTGTTAATGCCCCCGTGTTTAAAAAAAATTAAGTTTCTGTGAGTTTTACATTATTATTTGAAGCCAAGTGCCAGGTCTATTTCTGACTTGGTCAAAAGAAAACTGCTATTTGATAAAGTATATATTCCCTAACTAATTGCTTTATAATGTGCATGTTAATGCATATCCTTACAGAATAAAAATCTCAATCAAGCTTGTTGTCTTTGTATTTTAATTCTTCATGCTGACTTTCGAGTTTGACGGAGCAGCTCAGCTGTGATAAGATTCGAGAGATCAACAACTCCTTGTTTGTTTTTTCCCTTATGGCTACACATTCAGTTTACCCATCATGTAACGGAAACATTACTCATTAAAGCAGCCATGTAGCATTTTATTATTTACATTTGCATCCAAACTATTTACATACAGTACATGCTCTTACATTCCACGAAGCAACACCTATAGCCTCATAGCAAGTGTTCTCATTTAGTTTTTTTTAATGCTTTTATTAAGACAACGCAAGGGGGAAATAGTTAAAATCAGACAAACCAAATGAATACATCAAAGTATTAATGAAATAAAAGATGTGGGACATTGTGCAACTCAAAGATTTAAATTGTTTGTGATGTTTAAAATAAAGATATTTAAATGCCCTGCACACTTACACAGGTGTTTTTAGTCATGTTGGTTGAATAGACCTAAGCTCCTATTGAAGTGAGGGCAAGAAACAAAAAGAGTCATTTGTCCCTCCAAACAGGTCATACTGGCCTTTCACCAAAATGTCAATGTCACAGACCGTTGTGGCTCTTGATCTCGGTCATTTAGTGTAAGATGGTCATTAGAGTTACACAAGTCTTTTTTGTCCCTCCCTCTCAGGTGTAAAAATAGAAACAGATAGCGATCAATCGAGCACTTTCTGTACAGAGACCTGAAGGGAGCTGTAATGAGGCAGAGGAAGTAGAAACACCTGTTTGTTGATGGTGTCTGTGTGGGGGGGGGGTAATCTGCAGCATACCGAATACCTTCTGAGACTTCAACCTTACAATGGAGGATCCAGACTACAAGCTGTTTTAGTTTTTCAGACTGGACTGCTTTGGGTCATATCGAATTGTAATTCACCACCATTCAGATTTATGAGAGATTCTTCAATCAGATCAAAGAGTTCGGAGTTATGAGCCATTATTAAAACTATAATACTCTGATAAAGAAACTTTCCAAACATAAATACGGTACACCTATTCACACACAAGGACACGTACGCATCATCTTGGTTACATTCAAGATTAGACCTGAGACCCACTTACAGTACAGGATTAAGTAACGCTGACTTCAGTTGCTGGATTACCTAAACCAAAGAAGTGACCATTTATTATTAACAATAACTGAGCTCATGTGATATTCTAACTGTAGGAAATTATAATTTTACCATCTTAAATTAAAGTTTTAACAATATACTTTAGAGGAAAGGTTGGCTTTAGTAAATAGCAGCGGAAAATACATGTAAACAATGACAAAGGTCTTGAAATAGCTGGAAGAGCTGGATACATAACAGATAATAACTTTCATTCACCTTTAAAATCTTTTAGGGAGTTGTCTATCTTCATATACAACATAGTTAAGTTGAATCGGTGCTTTAGTCATGAGCTCAGTGAACCAATTTGCAAGCAAACACAATATTTTTAAAAACAAATCAGAGGAAAAATCTTGGCGTATTTCAACCAAACTGCGGTAGAAATCTCGGTAAGGCACAACATATTACACTCTCACTTTCCCCCCTGCTACTCCACCATAAAACATGATTCTGTATAAACAGTACATTACATCATAATGTGAATGATTTATAGTGCAAGCAGGTCAAGGGTGCCTCGACTTTAGCCTTTTTTTAATAAAGCTGCCTGTTGTGTTATGTAAGGTTGTGTACTCAGGAGCTATGGTGCCGTTTGCACACGTTGCAGATGGTGCAGAGCAGAAAGCTGGTTGTCCAAGAAGTCAACGCCAGTCATTTCCAGTTTTCAGGGGTTACTCACTACAGTCGATGGCTTAAAGAGTCCTTTGCCTCCACAACTGCATCAGTTCAGTGAACATGTTAACTTCCTCTGCCTCCATACTTCTCCACATAAATCAAACCTGAAGGGAATGAGAAAAAGTTATTTGTGTCCGTCTTAGTTAACACGTTATGGGCACAAATACATTTGGCGATGTTCGGTGTTTCGTTTTATACATATACAAGTAAAGAAGGAAGATTTTGCTTTCAGTAATCAAGCACTTTCTCAATTTTTAAAGCCCATTCCTTGAAAGTTATGTGTCTTATATCTTGTGGTTTTGAAGAGGTAGACATGTTGAATTATGAACGACTAATGTAGTTTCCTGTCTCTTGTGTCATGTCAACAGTCAAGAGTTTTTTAGTCTAGAAAACAACAATATGAATAATATGTTCATTTAAATTCAAGTCGGTTGATAAAACTAGTCTTTCAGTAAAAGACTAGTTTGGGAAATTTGAAAAGAAGAGAGTCTGACGGTGTTGACAAAAAAGGGATAGTGATTTAAGATATTCAGAAATAGTTTAAGGTAAGGATGTTTCAGTTTGCCCCTTATCTTTAGAACCACTGAATTACTCCTTGACGGATTGTGTGTGTGTGTGTGTGTGTGTGTGTGTGTGTGTGTGTGTGTGTGTGTGTGTGTGTGTGTGTGTGTGTGTGTGTGTGTGTGTGTGTGTGTGTGTGTGTGTGTGTGTGTGTGTGTGTGTGTGTGTGTGTACAGTCTGTTACCCGTGGTGTGTGTGCCGTGCTGTCCATCAGGCTCTGTCTCAGCAGGCCCGTCACCTCCTCCAGCTCCAGCTCGGCCTCCCGGACGTTGGGGTCCAGCTGGAGGACTTCCTGCAGATCACTGCTGGCAGACAGGTAATCCTGCACAGAGAAATGAGGAGAGAACGTATGAAATATAACATCCACAACCCGACTGCTTCAAATAACTGAGTGTTTATGATGTGGAGTGACCGGCACCTGTAAACCCTTGTAAGCCAGCGCTCGTCTGTAGAAAGCTTTCTTGTTGCCCGGCTCCAGCTGCAGCGCCGAGTCACAGTCCTGTTTGGCCTCTTCAAAGCGATTCAGTTTCAGGAAGCAAATGCTCCTGGAGGAGAGTAGAGAAGAGGACAGACGTCAGATAGAGCAGCATGTCCATCTCTGTCTTTCAGGACACTACTGCGGGTTATTGAAGCTATGGATGATCGTGTGGTGCCCTCTACTGTTTCCCTATTAAACTGCCCCTATAGGAGATTCTAAGCCAGTTTCTAAATCAGTATTATGTTACACCCAGCTTGGTTTTCCATTTGATCAGTTTATCAATCTACTTAGTGTCTATAGATGTAAAAGCAGATATTATAGGCTTATACTACTAATACCACACTGACATATTTCACTATATTATTATACCTTGTCCATTCTAAACCTTACTTAAGTAAAAGTATGTTAGTATTATCAGCTACATGAGCTTAAAGTATGGAACGTTTTCATAGAGCAATAAGATGTTCCCTGATAATGTTTTAGGAATAGACTTACTGCACTATGTTGCATTTTACTGCTGTTTATGTTAATCGTTGTGTTCATTTTAACTCCTTTATTTACTGAGTGGTAATTTAATCTATAGCAACGCATCATATTTAGAGATCATAATTAGTTTGAAGCGTCGCTGTCCTGTGAGAACAACACATTTTAGTCAACTTTTTATGAGTTTGTCAGAAAAACAACTCTGTTTTCAGCTCTATGACGATACAACGACAAGTTGACCTAAGAATTATAATACATTTAAATAGTTAAATTAAAGGTGGGGTAGGTACGTTTGAGAAACCGGCTCGAGATACACTTTTTGTTATATTCCATGGAATGCTCTTAACATCCCGATAGCAATGAATATCTTAAGTGCTTTGACAAAAAATCCATAAAAAAATGTCATCTGTGGAAGCTGTAGTACTGTAAAAAGCACGACCAATCATTTTAGCCGGCCCGGCTAGAATGACTGGATGGCCTACCTGCCTGTCAGCCTTCCATCTGTGCACAAACTTATCTCGTGCCCTCCTTGGTCATGTGCGCGTTCGTGTGTGTTGGAGGAGGGGCTCTGTAAGGAAGTGGCAGATTTGTTCCGGCTGTGTATTTTCAAATTCTAGTGCACTCGAGCTGGTTTCTCCAAAATCACCTACCCCACCTCTAACTTCAGAATTAGGAAATGTTCCTCAAAACATGATAAAGGATTAAAATATATAAATCACCCCATCTAGATTCGCATGGTTTTCACTGGATAGGAAGGGTATAGAGATTGTGTAGTCTGTGGAGTATCTAAAGTTCTCTGACAAATGTTGTGTAATAAAAAGTACAATATTTAAGATGTAGTGTAGTGTGCAAGGTTGCATACAATTGAAATACTCAAATACAAGTACAAGTAATCTACCTGTGGCTTTAAAGCAGGCAATGTTCTTTTCAGAGTTCAATAAGGACATATCCTTCTATGTGAGAGCAGGTTAGGGTCCCAGTTGCACGCTATGGTTGTTTCATGCGTACCTGTTTGTGTAGAGAGCACATTCTTCCGGTTTTAAAGCGAGACATTCAGTGTACTTCTCCATAGCCTTCTGGAAGGTTCCTTTCTTCACCAGATCGTTGCCTTCACGTTTCAGCAGAGTGAATCTGGCCTCATTTTTTGTGGCTGTTGAAAACAATGTGCAATTGATTACAAAAACAGGGAAGACAGAATATTTTATAATCTGGTCTGAAGTTCTTTTTTTCTTCACACAAACATTTTCAAGAGTGATCAATAAATACATTCAGCCTGTCAGCAGCGGTCTAATTGGACCAGAGGGAGTGAGTCAACTTCTGCTTACTGAGCTTACTGCTGTGCTGAGAAACACACACACACACACAACACACACACACACACACACACACACACACACACACACCACAACACACACACACACACACACACACACACACACACACACACACACACACACACACACACACACACACACACACACACACACACACACACACACACACACACACACACACACACACACACACACACACACACACACACACACACCTTTATCAAGCAATGTGTGAGCAACTGTATTTTAACAACCTGTTTGCCCTGTTTTTTTATAACTGATGAATAAAACTTAAGATCGTGGAGGTGAAATGCTGCCCCCTATTACTTTGAGCAGGTGGCCAGGTATTACACGTTGCCCCTCTAAACACTGACAACAGGCTGAGCCACTTCCCATCTGTTTCCCCAGCAACAGCAGCGTGCTATTCAGAGATTAGCTCTGATCTGTCTGTGTGCTATATTCATTAAGTGTTTATGTCTCCGTTTAGCTCAGCTGCTTTACCCGTGCGAGTCCTCCTGTGTATGGGTGTATACAAATGCAGCCATTTAGATATGAAAGTGCATGAGTGTTTTTAAAGCGCATACTTCATCACAAGTTTTTGAATATATTTGAATATAGAGGTAATATAATATATATATATATATATAGAGATAAAAACTAGGGGGATGGTAGAAATAGATGTTTCTGGACTGCCATATGATTTTGTTAATTTTTTTACATTTCTATTTCAGTCTTTTAAATAGCATATATACACATTTATTTTGTTATCATGTATTTTTTTAACATTTTCCTTTATCTTTTAACTGGGCTTATTTTTTACATTATATTAACTTTTGATCATAATGTGAATGATTTAGTGAGCATTGACGCAATCCTTGGCTCCAAAAATATAAATAAAACAAACTATATTTGAGTATATGATACATTTGAAGCCTTCTGGCCTGTGTGATAAGCTGAAGCTGCCTACAGGAAACCTGACCTGGATTGTTCCATTACAGCAGCGCTATGCTCTGTGTGGATCGCCTTCTCCTCTGCATTATTGATGACCCACCCACCCAGACACACACACCCACACACCCACCCACCCACCCACCCACACACACACACACACACACACACACACCACACACACACACACACACACACACACACACACACACACACACACACACACACACACACACACACACACACACACACACACACACACACACCACACACACACACACACACACACACACACACACACACACACACACACACACACACACACACACACACACACACACACACACACACACACACACACACACGTGAAAGAGATGCTCGTCATCGACATTGACAAACTGATTCTCACTGACCGACTTCTTTTAGAGACTTCATAATTTACAGGTTCAATTTCAAATGTTACCACCCAAAATGCATCAGGTAATATTTAAAGAGACAGTAAAGAGCTTACAGATGATTTATCTCATGAATGCCCGTACTGACATTAGAAAACGGGCATTTGTATATTCTGCACCCTTGGCATGGAATATGTTGCAGAAACACTGGAAACGGAATAAAATGATCCAGTTAAATGCTTTTAGATCCAAAGTAAATGTTAATGTTTTATTTACATGGTGACAAAACTGACCATTCCATTTATTTTTGTGAGGTGAGGTCAGTACGCTTAACCCTTTTTTCTTTTTGTCTGTAACTATATTTGTTGTGTATGCTGCTGTCTGTTATAGACAGTGTCTCCCTTGGGTCACTACTGGTTAAAGATGACATTAAAAACAACAACTATTGTCCAAGTAAGAACAAATAAACGGTTCCAGATCTCTCCTCTTAAAAAAGGAGAGATCTGGAATAGCAGTTATGCATTACAGCGATAGCTATAACCCTGTAGAGAGTGACTAGCTTGTCAACGGTTTAGGTGAAAGACTAGGAGGTTATAAATCCACTTAGCACAGGTTTGTATTTTAAATGAGTCCGCACTAAGCTAAGATGCCACTGACCCTCGCCCTGCGCTGCTCTGGCGGCTCGGGCCTGAGCTACTTCAGCGCTGACTGGTTTGTCTCTGTGTTCCAGCTGCACGGACAGAGGGACGGTGGGAATCTCTGGGAGATTCTCTCTCCACTGGGGTCCTTCCTCATCAATAAGCATCTTGGTGATCCTAGCAGAGGACACAGGGAGTAAAACATGCAGCGTAAGCACAAAAAAGTGTTTTATAATTAGCTAGATCAATGCCGCAACCACTGCAGGGTTAAGTCATCAATTTACTATTAACATGTGGTGTCTTTCTACCAAGACATGTCAATGTGTCTGCTGTAAAAAAGCTCTCACCTTCATTTTAGCAGATTAGCCAGAGAGAGTGAAAACACCTGTGTGGGTGGATTTAGGTAAGTAGGCCCTTTAAAATGTGATGATACATACTACACACTAACTTTATATTACTATGTTTTGAGTCTGTAGTGTAGTCAGACTGGAAAGTGATGATTAAAAAGGAGACAAAAAAGGTTAATACGTTATTTTAACTAATAGAAAGCAACATGAAACTTCCAATGTTGATTATTTACATACAGGCAATCGCTTCGGAAATATTATGTTTAAATATTACTTCATATCATATTCTGACTTTTGCCGAATTTAGGAGAAATATACAGACAAGTTTATATACATTTAGTAACACCTCCATTTTTTGAGGATGTGGTCTTTCGACTACTCATATTCAAAAGCGTGTTTTTGACTTGTGTCTCCCTTAATGTAAACCTGACTTATTGTAGATGGTGAAAATAACTTCTTTAAATGTGTGATTAGAAGAATAATACTTTAAACCACATTTTCTCTTACATAATCCCTACCAAATACTAAAGCAGCAAATTGAAAGGAGCCGTTTCTTCTGTGTTTGAAGGTATGAAAATGTGTAAATTCTCAGGACTTAATCATGTCCAATTAATACTCTCTTAAACCTTTATTTAATGCATTGTGTACAGTGTAACACTACATAAAACTGGCATTAAAAAAGGTTGTGTTAATGTCTCAACAAAACAATAGCTAAAGTGTGTGATGTGCGACTGTTTTCAGCTGACCTGTGGACGCTGTCGCGAGCCGACTGCACCCCGGTGTCTACCTGCAGGACGGTTTTATAATCCACGTAGGCCTTTTTGTAGCGCTCCAGTGTCTCATAGGCCATAGCTCTGCGTAGCAGGGGCTTCAAGGAAAAGGGTTGCAGCTCCAAAGCCCTAAGAGGATCAGAGACACGCAGAAACAGAGGATAAAACTGTCTGCATCGACATGCCGTGTCATTAGTGTAACCTTGCTCTGTAGCTCTCCATTCATAAACATGTGACACTACAAATACTCACATAGTGTGTTGATATTCTATTAACTGATACTTAAGTCATACAAGCTTACCTGTTGTAATTACATTTAAATTAACTACATAAACTGACATTTTTATTTTGAGAGGAGGAACTCCACAGATTTTATACATCAAATTGTGCTTGTTAGAACGACTGCAAATAAAGCCTTTTGTGGATAAACTGACTCAAGTCACGTCACAGTTAGAAGTTAGAAAAGGAAGCAATGTGGGGGAGTGGAGAAAAAATAAGTGAGATTACCAGACCTAAATAGCCCACTCCTCATCTCTGCTTGAAGCTAGAGGGGCAATGCTACATTAGCCAATACTAGCATAGCATTTCATTGTGGGTTATGAAGGTGCCAGTGCAATGCTAAGTCTGTGGAGTACTCCTTAAAAAACAGCCAGAAAGAGATTGACTATAGAATAGATGGAGTCTACGTACTTGGTACAGTCCTGTATGCATTCTGTGCTGTTTCCGTCCTTCAGGAAACAGGCTGCTCTGTTCGAGTAGAGGATGCCCAAGTCTTCTGGACTATCGATGCCTGCAGGAAACAAATACATCACACTTATCTGAAGAAACAATGCTTGTAGAGTAATGTATGTTGGTGACATTTAAAATGCAGACTGTCCTGAGATGCTGAGGCTCTGAGGGGTCGACAGATAAATGATGGAATGCTTTCTTGCCCTATCCTTTCTCTTCTGAGCCTCAACAGCAGCTTTAAAACCGCCAATGGAGCATCAGTTATTATGTGCTGCTTCAGTGCCTAGAAACTGATGTCGACAGTGCTGACACTCCTACTGATTGTGTTAATTGTTACAATAAGAAAAAAAGACTTAATCAAATATTGTGTTCTATGCTTTCCTTTGAGGGTACTCTCTGTTTAGTGTGCTATGAAATTAAGTGTTGTCAGCCTGTATCCGGTGCTGCAGAAAAGACTATTCATCTTGCCAGCTACGAGAGTAAAGTTGGCTGCGTACACTTAAAGGTGCAGCATGACATTCAATCTCACCTAAAAGCCCCCATGCACTAGCACATTCTACTCTATCTACGGTCAGCAGTGTTGTCTCGTGCCAACACTGCATTCACAAATCAACAATGATGGCGATTTTAGACTAGAAACTTGTGAGGACAACGTCACTAATTCACACAGGTGATAGATATGAAAATTACCTGTACTCATCTATAACCATTAACATAACGAAGGGCAAAAAGAAATTGGGAAATTGTGCAGCATGACAGGCATGATGCATTTCAAATTGACATGGGATACTGTGGATTGTGACGCCAAGACACTGAGTCAACTTGTATCTGATACCCCTTACAAACAGAGATGCTAGAGAGGCTTTCTGTCTGTCCCTGTGCAACCCATTTGTTGTTGTTTCTACATCATTGACTTGACTTCCTCTAAAGTTGCCTAAGAAGACCTTGTCACCACCCAAAAACACAGTAGTGACACATTTTCATCCTAAAGATTGCTTTAAAACAGCTATAAAGGGGAAAGTATGCTGTAAGAGTATCATAACAGTGTTAATTGTATGATTCTTGTTTATTAAAGGATAAGTCTGGAATTGACAGAATCCATCTTCTCAGATGACATTTGGTGTAATCTCTATAATTTTAAAAAACAAATATCTTTGAGCTGTGGGTCAGCCGAAATAAGAACTTTGAATATTTAAACATCTGCTTTATGAAATAGTCATGGGCATTTTCACTATTTTCATTTCAAAGACAAGATAATGACTAATTGATGAATCAAGCATACACCTCTTTCGTGATACTGTAATTTACTACGACATTAAGCTCTGATTCAGCATGAAACTGTATTCACCCTGACGAGGTCAAATCAGATTATTTGTATTGTAGGCCTACTTGATAATGTCTACATCAAAATTAACAACTCCGAATTGCTTCTACAAATCTAAGAGATGTCTGAGAGAGAGTTAAAATATAATTTAAAACCTAAACTAGCCTAATCAACAGAGGTGTTTCTGCTCTGATAAAATGCTGCTCATGCTATGAATTCTCGGACGAAATACACAACATATTATTCACTTTACTTCACACCCTACCTGCTTCAGCACAGCCATCAATGGCCTGTGTGTATTTCTCCAAGGCGTCCCCAAACTGTCCATTTTTGAAGAGGTGGTTCCCTGCGTTCTTGAGCCGGGCCAGGTGAGGAGGCAGGGCTCCAGCAGGGGCATCCAGATAACTTGTGTCCACTGCAGGGCTGTCCTGCCGCTGTTGTCCACCAGCAGGGCTGTTTTCCCTCTGTGAGCCGTTCACCACCCCCTTCCCCGGAGCTCGGTGGGGCTTTTCTGCGCCGCCTCCGCCCCGGCTTCGCGTCCCGCTCCCCGCTGCGGCCTGGTCCGATCTACCGCCCCCTCCTCCGCTGCCTGGGGGTTTGTCCTGTGCGTTCCCCATGGCTGTACTCCCTCCGCAGTGTGTTAAACTCTTCCTCCCTCCCTGTCTTTGCCTATCTCTCTCTCTCTCGCAGAGCTGCAGCTACATCTGAGCCTGCCTGGCTGGGGATTTCTGATGGACACGCCCCCTGGATGAGGTGTCGGAGGTGACGTCACAGATGGGGGGAAGTGCCACAGCGATGCAGTGCTGCAGCAGGATCTGATGGGAGAGCCTCGGATTAGACCTCAGAGTAAAGGGCTCTGCTGGCTGGTGACATACAGGAAAACGGACAGAAATATTAAACGACTGAATAAACAAATGGACAGATACAGAAGCATTAGACTTGTGAAATAACAGGAAAACAAACTGTTGCAGTTTTGGTGATTTGTTTTATGCTCTTTTATTTGCAAATGATCAAGTTAAGGTACTGAATATTTGATCTTTACGCCTTACCAAAAACAGAAGCAAAGCTTTGTTGTTATTAATTAGCCGTATGCCAATTAAGCATGTCTCTATTTGACTAGAACTAGCACCATCTTCTTTAGATTCACCAAATTAATTATGGTAATGTTTTCAAACTCAGTTTTAATATACGTTTGTTATTGCAATTAAGGGATGCCTAATGGTATTTCAGTATTGATTTAATATTTCTTTTTGAAATCAGTCATTGGTTAAACTGGTTAAAAGTGGTAAACGTATGCAACCAGCAGGGGTCACATCACATTGAGTTTGTTTAAAGGGATATCAAGATGTTGGAACATCTCACAACTAAATAATAAAATGGTTTACTTCCTTTATTATAGCGCAAACAAACTAAATAATAATCTAAAAGAACAGAAGAAAAGTTAGAACTGCAAATATTGTTATATCCATCTGAATGTTATCATTACAATTTGATAATGTCTGACTTGTTAAGGGTAGTGAGGATACGTAGGTGAAAAGATATGTATGAATCATGCAATCAAATGAACAAAAATTGTGAACAGTCTCGGTCATTGCAAATCTTTTTTTAATAAAACAGAAACCTTTCATTCATTACTGAACAGCACACTTTGTGTGGCAATGAGCTTTAATCAAAATGCAGAGATCTGAAGCCAGGACTGGAGGTCAGATCCCATGGAGTCGTCAGTGTAATTATTTACAATGTTAAAAAAAAAAAAACAGTACACAGAGAAAATCAAAAGGGCTGCTCTTCTCTTCTTCAGCGGGCATCAAAGACAACCACTGTAATCAAAGAGTCAAGGAAATGGACAGTATTATAGTATTCAGTTCATACATTGATTTGTAATAAAAAGTATTTTGCCATCACATATTACATTATTAGAATAACATTTAAAAGGATACATCTCTTTGTTCTCTTCTTGTACATGATCCTGTAACCGCACTCTCTGCATCGGATTGGATCACGGGCCTTAATTTCATTTTCAGTGTGACATTCTGCAAATGAAGAAAAAATGTTACAGAAAATATCAAGTGTATCCATAAAAACCTTGTAGATCTAAATGATAATCTATCAGGCTGATATATAACCTTGTTGCAGATATATCAACATCTGTTATAAGTCTGCACATTTTTCAGTTTTTGCCTATTGAGCTTTGTATCCATAGTTGGTTGTTGGGGGTTTATTTTATATGTTAAGTCTTACTTTTGAGAGTAATCAAATGTGGTCTTAGCATTACATAATAATATAAACTTCAAAAAAGTTAATTAAAGCTTGGTTTTTATTATCCAACCTAAAAACACCAGCCCAGTTTTGACGACTCTTTTCCAATAAAAGTAGCTAGCAGCACTAGCTCTAAAGTTGCTAAATTTAGCGTGGAAGTCGCCAAGCTGGCAAACACGTCTCTTTAAGCCTCCCTCCAAAGCAGCATTCAAAAAAGTATCTTTATGAAGGTAAACATATGAAAATGGAGCTAAAGAATGAACAAATCTATTGTAATGTACTCACAGCTGTCAAGCTAACATCTTGTGGAAGACTTCGGTGACGCGCAACGAGTTTGCGCGGGTAGGAGTCAGGTAGGTTTGAAGTTAGACAGTCCAATAATTCTCATTTGGGCTTAATAACATGTTCACAAACTTATTGCAAAGGCCTATGGTTCAAGATTTGTTATTTTTGTCTTAATATTTTATTTATTGATTGTTGTCCGGATGTGAGGAGAATTTCGACAAACACATCCAGAATTGTTTCAAAAATACTTAACCTATCCTAGCTTTAGCCCTTATATCATGTATTATTTGGAGCACATGATATAGGTCTGTGAGTGTTTTCATATTTGCTTTATTAATATTTGACAATTGTTTGGTAGATATATAACGTCAAAAATCCTACTATCTTGATCTACTAAAACTGTGTGTAATTATACTGTAGTAGTACACCGTAACAGAAATAGAGATAGCAGTACTAACAGCAGAGGTGGACAATGTACTCTGATCTTATACTTAGTAGAAGTAATAGTAAAGTAGTAATACTACAGTGTTGAACATGTCTGTTACACGATAAAGTCCAGTTGTTACTTAAGTAAAAATACAAAAATATAAGCATCAGATAAAATTAAAGAGCCCAATGGTAAAGTATTCATTATACAGAATGACTCGTTTCAGAATAATACTTATTATATTATTGGATCATAAGTTTTGAGGAAGTACAGACATACTTTATATATTGACAGTTAACAATGGGATCAATAAAGTTGTATCTTCACCTTTGAATAATATACGATAAACTTGTTGTTGATTCTTAAGTTATTTTGTATAATCTCATTCTTCAAAGCAACGAGTTCTTGATTAATATGTAGCGCAGTATAAAGTACAATATTTACCTCGAGTGGTATAAAGCAAGCAAGTACATTCACTTAAGTACAGTTTGAAGTACTTTACCAGTTCTATTTTTGCTACTTTCTACATATACCCCACTACAATTGGTAAACTGTGTATTTTTACTCCACTATATTTATTGTATACCTTTAGTTACTTTGCAGATGTGGAATAATGATATGAAATATAATCAATAATTAAAAAATACTTAAAGGTGGGGTAGGTAAGTTTGAGAAACCGGCTCGAGATACAATTTTTGTTATATTCCATGGAATGCTCTTAACATCCCGATAGCAATGAATATCTTAAGTGCTTTGACAAAAAATCCATGAAAAAATGTCATCTGTGGAAGCTGTAGTACTGTAAAAAGCACGACCAATCCGTGTATCTCGTGCCCTCATTGGGCGTGCATTGCAGCAGTACTTCAATACTCGCCAGCAACAGGCGGCCACTTTCACCATGGCAGAGTTAGGTTCAACATCGTCTACTGGTGGCAAAATAAATAATGTAACGGAGCAAATTAGGAACAAAAACAAAGTGGAAACTAGGAGAATTCAAACCAGAGTCAATATCGGAGTTGCTTTTCAACGATGGCGACTACTGATGGAACACACCTATGGGGGTTATTCCCTATCTTTATTCAAGAGCGTGGTATTTAAATTTGAGAGCATACTTTATGTATTTATTTCCCTCAAACCCTGTCCTCGCACTCAAATAGTGCCTGCTTGCACTTAGATTTGCTCTGCTTCTGCTCAAACTGTACGCTTGCACTCAGATATATTGCTGCTTACAGATTTGTTCTGCTCTCAAATTTATTCTGTGCGCGCTCGAAACTTTTGTGCAACAATCCTGTCAAAATCCCTCAACCAATAGGAGGCCAGGTGTCCTTGCGGGTGCGTTCGCTTTACTTATTACAGCGTCCCGTAAGGGCGGTTACTCTTTGGTTTGTCTTTGGTGCGATGACAGGGTTTGAGTGAAGGAAATCAATAAAGTATGCTCTCAAATTTAAATACCACGCTCTTGAATAAAGATAGGGAATAACCCCCATACACACCGAGTTGAAATCTGACGCCGTGGTCGCTTTTTTTCTCTTGGACAGGTAATTATCTGTTTTGTATGGTTTACAATTCCATGAACTATATTCTTTCACACACAGTGACGTCACGAGCTACCCACAATGCAACACGCGCCATATAAATATATATAAATGCGCCATTTTCCTGGAGGTGCTAATATCCTGGAAGTGCAAATATAAACAGCTAGCTTATGTAGCCAGGCAGAGCGCAGTAGGTTTTTTTCCTGAATTAACGACCGAAGAAATCGCTGCATGTCTTCGGATTACATCTCTGGACTTGAGGGGTGTGCTTTAGGTCGTTACCAGCGTAAACTAGAGCTGTGTGGGTTGTTACAGACTGCCTGCAGATGTATGGAAAAACGACAGTGGCCTTCGTCGATTTTGGCTGCATCTACGTCTAATTTCTGGAAACACCAGGTGAATACCCCACTTGTCACAATAATATTATCATGCCATTGCATATATGTGGTATTTTAGAGTTGACTAGATATTGATTAAGGCAATAGACTATGATATTCAGTACAGGAAGTTTAGCAACACCTAGACGGTGTACGGCTGCTTGCACCTCGCGTAAAACGGCGCAGACCGAAAGTACGGTGTCGCGCTCGGCCCAATACCCGTATGTGTGTGTGAAAGAATAGCCAACCTGACGGCCCGTCTACACTACAGGCGTCAAAAAATGCTTTCAACGCTTCGCCCATTCATTTGAATGGGGTGACGTAGGATATTTTCAAACTTCGCCGAACTGCATTGTGGGTAGCATGGCAAGGCGTTGCAAGCATCGCGAGCGTCTATCGGCGTCAAAAGTTGAACAATGTTCAACTTTTGAGGCTCGATGCTTGCTCGAAGCTGGCGTCAGCCAATGAAATCCCGTTTATGCAAATCTCCAGTACAAGCGAGCCAATCAAACCGCGTGTATGCTGGGAGAGACTACGCAGGTCATTTCCTCATATTCAAAAAAATGGAGGGAAAATTCATTATAGCGGTAGTGAATCACCCGGTGCTGTATGATCAGTCTCTGTTCATCTACCGGGATACAAACCGGAGGAGCGAGGCATGGAGGGAGGTGGCAGAGACAGTGGCTGAAACTGGTAGGTTTTCGCCTGTTTGGGGATTTTATATCCAGTTTACTTCGTTTTAACATTGCTATTGCTTTGTATGTCGGGGGCGGGAGATTCATGTGATTGGTTGTTGGTCGCGTTGCTCGCAAAAAATCGCCAAGCCTCAGACACGCCCAGCTTCAAGCTTTTTCGACGCCTGTAGTGTAGACGGGCCGTCAGTCATGTGCGCGTTCATGTGTGTTGGAGGAGGTGCTCTGTAAGGAAATCTGAAGGAAGGGGCGGATTCTTTTCGGCTGTGTAATTTCAAATTTTAGTGCACTCGAGCCGGTTTCTGAAACTTACCTACCCCACCTTTAATACATGAATGAGGGTACTTCTTCCACCTCTGAATTGTAGTGGAGTATAAACTAGCATATAATATAAATACTCAATTGAAGTACAAGTACCTCAAGTTTGTACGTAGCTACAGTACACCACTGATTAGCAGATATGTAATGTAATTAAATGTAACAGCTCCAAGTAACGTTAGCATCGTTAGCCGTAGACGCTGGCTCATTCTGCAATCATCACAACACAAACTGTAACGTACCTCCGCATATGTAGATCATAGGTTGCTGTTTAGGCGGTTGAGCATCTTTCTGTGGGTCCATTTTATCCCTACAAAGGACAGGAGAAGCAACATCTGTAATGTTACAGCATGCTAACACAGAAAGAGCATGGTGGTATCTACATGATTAGCCTGAACTGCCACATTCGGCATACGCAGTGAACAACAAAAGTCTTAACCCAATCGTAACATGCAGTATCAGTATCATATGAACTAAAGGAAAATATATTAAATAAATAAATACGACAACTCACCGTTATTAACAAGCTAACTGTTTACTTATCTTTCTTCACATTCGCACGCACTGCTCTGTGTTGGTCGGGAACGAGTCGGCTCAAAGAGCCGGCTCTTTGTGTCGGTCATGAACGAGTCGGCTCAAAGAGCCGGCTCTTTTAAGTGAAAGACGGGAGCCGGCTCGCGCCCGCGAACAAGCCGTTTTTTTGTTGTTAATACAAGACATAATGATATGATTATCTCCGCGCTACAGCTGCTCCGTGCATGCATGCAGTAACATGTAATATCCAGTGCTGGAATTGGGCCGGTACTCACCGGTACGCAGTACCGGCACTTCTGGTTCTGACCCATGGAGTACCGGTGTTGCAGTATAACGTGAGTCATGACAACTGGCGACATTCTATTATTTTCGTCATAGGAATCGGGGGCGTGTACATTGAGGACCCATTGTTGACTTACCATGTCGATCGCCTCGTTTGTCGTTTACGTTCATCTTTTGCTATATCTGCCTTCCTAAGATCACTTTGATGCACATTCAGTACTCGTATGTGAGGTTGTGGGTGAGAGGTGGATATCGTGACACTTACAGGGAGGTATCGAACATTACAAAGTAGGTGACTGTGTGGATGCCTGTTCAAAATATTGCAAACTTGAATAAATCATTTAAATTATATATTTGTGTCCGACTTTCATTTGTACATCGTTATTAATGTGATCTATAGTAGCTTTGATAGCTGTCCATACCTTCAGACAGCCTAAAAGTAAAACACAAGTCGTTTATTCACAGCCCGAACGCTCATCGACATGACTGGATCACTCATGACAGGTTGTGATCAGCTCCGAATAAATTGTGATATAGATGCTGTAGCTATTCTCCAGGGAGCACGTTTTTTTAATGAAATACCTGTATCCCTCTCATCACAACAAGACTCTACACTGTGCAGGAAAAACAATTACATACATGAAAATAACCTTGATGCATGGGAATGAAACACACAAACTATCTTCCGTGGCTATACTGATATGTCACAGAACGGTAAACTACAGAAAAGTAAGTCCAGCGGGGCACACGTTGAATACATATAATACAGTAGTTCTATTATGCCTTTAAGCCTATACGTTTAACCCATAAAAACCCGGACCCATTTCTACTTTTGGGGAAATTAAGGGGAACGTCATTTAGACTAAATAGACCTAAATAGACCTAGAACACATTTCTGACAAGTAACCCCCCCTAGTGTCAAATATCTGAAATGTGACATATGTGTCACATTGGGCTTTAATGGTAAAGTAACTCTTATTTATAACTTCATGAATGAGGATGATTTTTTGGTTTCCATTTGTTTGAACATACTTTAAATTGAATAATAAAGAATATGTTAACTAAATATAATTGAATCAGCTAAATTAACTGAGCAGATCATAATCATATTTGTAATTGTGCATATATGTCACTCCGGGTTTACTGTGAATGTTTAGGGTTAATGTCCCGATGTGACATCAGTGTCACAGCAATATTTATGGCATTTGTTTCATATCAATTTCATCAATAAATGTTTCTACAACAGGTTATATGTAATCAGAATCAGAAAAGAGCCGAAGACAGCTTAATGTTTAACAAATGACATGTCATGTAAGCATTTTTATTCTTAAATGGCTTGAATGTTAACTTTAGCAACAAAAAACCTTTCCAAATGTAGCTAGTTCTGTCACATGTGTTAGCCTGGCACATGGACATCTTGGACATGTTGTTATGGGAACACAAAAGCAAATGACAAGGACCATAACCCACCAGACTGTTCAGTGTGTGTCACTGAGGGACTTCATGAGATAAAAAAGGCTAAAGCTGTATAAGGAACTTTCCAGAACATTTAAAGTTCATGTGACACCTGTGTCTAAGCAATTCGGTCTGCCTTCCGTGTTGCACCATGAGGACCCACTGATATAAAATGTTTAACTGTCTAAGTTGCAACCATGCACTTTTTGGAGGGCTAAGCGCCAGCTTGACATATTTTTCGCTTCATTTATAGAAGGAAAGACAACAGTGATAGTTATGTTTCAGAATAACATTTATTGGAAATTGTTAGAACAATCTCACTGGTCACCGGCTTGAGCTTCAATCTCAGGATCCATGTATTTGTGATCAAAAGTAGGCTAATATAAAAGTAGTGTAGATCATTACATTTCAGAGACAGTAATATTGTAATGTAACGTAGCCTATTACTTAAAAAAGACAGTAATAAGTAATGTACTGTATTACATTTTGGAAGTAATTTGCCCAACACTGCAGATGATCCAGTCATCTCGATGCTGCTTTCGGGCTGTGAATAAACAACTTGTGTTTTACTTTTAGGCTGTCTGAAGGTATGGACGGCTATCAAAGCTACTATACATCACATTAAGAACGATGTACAAATGTTTTATATGTATTCAACTTGTGCCCCGCTGGACTTACGTTTCTGTGGTTGACCGTTACTGTGACATCAGTATAGCCACGGAAGATAGTTTGTGTGATTCATTCCCATGCATCAAGGTTATTTTCATGTATGTAATTGTTTTTCCTGCACAGTGTAGAGTCTTGTTGTGATGAGAGGGATACAGGTATTTCATTAAAAAAAACGGGCTCCCTGGAGAATAGCTACAGCATTTATATCACAATTTAATCGGAGCTGATCACAACTGGTCATGAGTGATCCAGTCATGTCGATGAGCGTTCGGGCTGTGAATAAACGACTTGTGTTTTACTTTTAGGCTGTCTGAAGGTATGGGCAGCTATCAAAGCTACTATAGATCACATTAATAACGATGTACAAATGAAAGTCGGACACAAATATATAATTTAAATGATTTATTCAAGTTTGCAATATTTTGAACAGGCATCCACACAGTCACCTACTTTGTAATGTTCGATACCTCCCTGTAAGCGTCACGATATCCACCTCTCACCCACAACCTCACATACGAGTACTGAATGTGCATCAAAGTGATCTTAGGAAGGCAGATATAGCAAAAGATGAACGTAAACGACAAACGAGGCGATCGACATGGTAAGTCAACAATGGGTCCTCAATGTACACGCCCCGGATTCCTATGACGAAAATAATAGAATGTCGCCAGTTGTCATGACTCACGTTATACTGCAACACCGGCACTTCTTGCTCAGTACCGGCATGCTGGCGGTACTCCGGTACTCATGCACCTTGCCAGTACTCAACACTCTCCCGCCGTTCTTATTATACATCCATATATATATATACAGCCGCCCGGTACACAGTAGATGCGTCATGACGTCATGAGGTGCCGAACGGACATTCTCATCGCTCTAACCGCTGGAGTTTCACAGCGGCTGTCAGCTGTTTACTCCTGTCATTCAAACAGAACGTGCTGGAGAGGGGGCGGGGCTTATCTTCTCCATGTAAATACTGTGGTGGAAACGACTATGTCAAAATTAACCTATTTGACCGTGATTTAATAGTAATACACGTTTCAAAATAATAATAATAATAATAATGCCGAAGTAACAAACATACTGAAAACTGTTAGTAAAACCATGTTTTAATGCTTTACAATTTACATACCTAGATGCACGTGTGTTGTGTTTATGCAGTGCAACTCCCACCCAGTGGGTGGCTATGTAGAGTGATAGAACAGAGCAGGCACGCCCCCGAGAGAAGGAAAGCAAGTCACGTCACAAATTAGCATTTCTAAAATGTTAGCGTGGATTAATAAAAGTGCAAAAAGACAGCGGTTGTCGCCGGAAGAAACTTCAAATACAGAGAATGCTGTGCCTGTGTTGGAAATTGTGTCTGATGGGGAGCTTTCTTTGGTTGATCCTCCTGCTCCAAGTTTCTAGTGCATTAGCATTAGCACTAGCTCCGCCGCCTCCTCCAGAGCCTCTAACGTTAGCTGCTGCTGGCTCAACTGCCACCACCAACACCGGGCAAAGCGATGCACCTGACTGCTGGACAACGGACCAGGTGCAATATTTTTTGCAAGACCAATGCATGGCTCCTTCTTAAAGATAAGAAGCTAGGATGTCGGATATGCAGAGATGTCAAATCTTTGGGAATACACACTGGACAAGGACTGAAACTGTCAACTGAATGGGGTGAGTGTGCAGTGTCTCATTTCGTTGTTGACAAGGGCAAACAACAAGCTAGCCTGAGAAAAAAATCAAAGAACATAAAGAATCACAAGCCCATGTAAAAGCTGCTGACATCCTTACATCTGCTTCACGTGAAACTATTCAACATCAAGTGCAGTCTATGCATACATCTGAATTAGACACCACTATCAGAGTTTTTCGAACGGCATATAAAATTGGCAAACATAGCCGGCCATTCACAGACATGCCAATTGATTTGAATGTACAGAAACTGAATGGGCTGAACGTGGGCAGGGTTTTGCACTCCAATAAAACCTGTGGCGAAATCATCGACCACATAGCTCATGAGCTGAAGAAAAAAATGGCAAAAGACATTACAGAAAACCAAAGAAAACTCTGTGTTTTGGTCGATGAATCTACCACTATTAGTGGTAAAACGGTGCTTGTTGTGTGTCTACGCTCAGCATTAGCTGATGCTGAGCCCGAAACGTTTTTTTTGGGAGCTGATCGAGTTGGATGGAACAACGGCTGATGACATCACAAAGGCGTTAATGGAGTGTCTTGGAAGAGATTTTAACGAGGACTTTTTAGGTCAGTGTTTCGTTTCTTTTGCATGTGATGGGGCTTCAGTCATGCTAGGGAAGAGAACAGGCGTTGCTACCCAGTTGTGTAGTAAATTCCCAAGCCTGTTTGTGTGGCACTGCTCCAATCATCGTCTAGAGCTGGCAGTTGGGGATGTGGTCAAGGAGGTCTCAGGGCTCAATCATTTCCAGATCTTTTTTGACAAACTCTATTCCTTGTTCCATGCCTCCCCCAAAAATCAGAGGCAGTTAGCGCAGTGTGCGCAAGCAGTCGGACAGCGTCTCCTGGTGATAGGGCGTGTTTTGTCCATCCGCTGGGTGGCTTCAAGTGAAAGGAGCGTCAGAGCAGTCTGGGAAAACTACCGAGTGCTTCATGATCACTTCACAAATGCTGCAAACGACACGAGCAGGGATTCCAGAGACAGAGCAAAGTACAAGGGCCTGGATGATGTGCT